TTTTGCTTTTACTTTTTCACTCTTGGACAGTTCAGTTGTTATGATGTGTAACCGTGGCGCCTGAAAATTTAAACTATCTCTTCTGTTCTTCTGGTCACATCTCCGACTCTAACTTCCCCCCTGACCGATTTCCTAATCTTAAAAGAGAAGCAGCAAAAGCAAATGAGGAGGATCAGCATTGCTTGTCCCCCACTGATTGTCATCCAGGGCATGTTACTGTGTGGAATATCAACTTTGTTCCCTTGAAATTGAGCTGTTTGCATGTTGCGACTGTCATGAGAGTGTCGAACAACAACAGTCGTCAGTCAAAGGCTTCTTCAGATTTGAAGAAAGCCTGACTTTGACCAGAGGTCCTTCCTGCCCACAGCATCACCATCCACAGCGACTCCTTGAAGATACTTGGATTATGCGCTTGGGACAAATGAAATATTTTTGAATAGAAATATTGAGTAAGAGTTTCTGTAGCAGCAGATGCCAGTAAATGCTAACGTGTGCATCAGATATGTCAGTCCCTGCTTCCTCCTGCTTTTTTATCACAAAGAGAAAACTTTGCATCCGGAGGCAGGACCGGGACATCAGATTACGTACCTGCACTTATTTGCCTTTTGTCTTTGTGACCCTTGTTATTACTGCTTCTCGGCCTCTTGGGACTGTGTGTGTGTGTTGATGTCATCAGTCCCATCAGGGATGAGTTTAATGAATGTGTGGAGGAAAACATGATTCTCTTTGTTGCCCCTGTTGGCCACACCCAGCTTCCTATTCCGCAGGAGGAGAACGATTGGAGACCATTTTCACCCTGCTGGGCTCGTAATACCAGTTTTGGTCTAAACCAACAGAAGTACACATGTGTCTTCTCTTTCAGTAATATAATCCACTGTGACAGAATATACACAGAGGTCTCATTATACCTGAGATAATTGTGTTTTCTTTTGGTGTGTCTCTGCAGCTCCAACCTTCTAAAAAAATAAAGAAAAGAAAAGAATGCATGTCGAAATTATGAACAGCTTTACAAATGTCTTTTCAAATATAACCTGTCGGGAGCAATCTGATCGAAGAGAACAGCTGTGTGTGATCCGTGGAAAACATTTTATTGCGGGGAACTATTTTGTGTGCTTAAAGTGGAAGAAAATGGTTGCAGGGTTTAATTTGAGTTCGCTCACAGCTTCTTTGAGCAGCTGCATAAGCCTAATTGTCAGTCACACAGCGTATTAGTGTTGACATACTTGTGGTCTTGTACCAACATGCACAAGTTCACAAGCACAGGCGCAAGAAAAAGCAAGAGAACCTTCTGAACTGCTCCACATTGCAATCATACACAATCATTCAGGCAATGTAAAAAAAAAAAAAAGAACATTTTTTGTGCTGCCAGTAAATAAGAAACGTGGCGTTAAATATACAACCTTGGAAAAAATTGAGAGACCACATCAAATGATGAGTTTCTCTGATTTTCCTCTTTATATTTATATGTTTGAGTAAAATGATAATTGTTCTTTTATTCTATGAACTACTGACAACATGTCTCCGACATTCCAAGCAAAAATTTAATTATTTGTAGAAAATGACGAAAAAAGATGCAGTGCTTTCAGAACTCAAATAATGCAAAGAAAACAAGATCATATTCATTTAGAAACAACAAAACTAATGTTTTCACTCAGGAAGAGTTCAGAGATCAACGTTTGGTGGAATAACTATGAGGTTTTCAGTGGGGTTCAGTGCAGTTGGCTCTTCATTTTTTATAGAGCTGTATATTGTGTTGTGTAAAAAAAATTAACTGCATGTTCATGACAGCCACTACAAGACCTCATAATACTCATAGTTATTGCTCGCATCATCAGGATTGTCCTAAATATTACAATTGTTGCTTGAATCTACAGGAAAATGGTCTTGAGCAGTGAGGAACCCATTTCATTTAAATAAATTAAAAACCCAAACATTGTTGTTGTTTAAATGGTAAATGGCCTGCACTTGGAAAGGGCTTTATCACGTTCAAGGTCGCCACAATGACAAAGTGACTGAGACAGATGGAGTGGGGGGGTAGGGGGGTTAACTGGCTGCTCCCCTGTTACAGGACGAACCCCTTCCACCTGAGCCACTGCTGCCCCTTAAAAACACGCAGGGTGTTTACCATATTCTTGACATGTGTGTGTCCGGCTACTGGTGGCTGTACGCGATGAGTTGGGGTAGATTAGAACGAAAACGAAGCCTCTGGGAGGCCTCAGAAGATGTTTATTCTGCAGATAAAACCGCGCCAGCTCTTTGGACCTCAGGACCTTCGCTTTGCTGAATAAACAACAATCCTGCTGAAAATTACCGACTTGAGCTCAATCAACAAAGGCATGGGGGGGAAGGGGTGTGAGGGCACGGTGCCAGCTCATGACGGTGGAGTCAGTACACAGCATCACAAAGATTGGACCGGACTTTGTAGATTTAAAGTCGCATTCCATATAGGTTGTTTGATTTTTTTGTTTTAACGAGTAGGTGTTGACATAAATTTAGGTTGTTTTCTTGCAAGGCCAATTGAGTGTAATGTGATGGGGGTGGGAAGCAGAGCAGAGCGAGAGAGAGAGAGAGAGAGAGAGAATGAAGATGTGCAGCCAATTACTATTCAGCCCTAGAGGCCGCGGGGCAGAAGGAGAGCGACCGGCCGAGCCGCAGCTCAAATATTCCCAACAACAGAAAGTTGGAGAGCGTTCGGGCCGGAGAGGACGGACGACTTTGATGTTTTGCATCGTTCTCTTTTTCTTTTTTCTTTTTTTTTACAACCCGGCTGTCCAACCAGGACGAGCTGCGGCTGTCTCGTGCAAAGGTCGACTGAAATCATTTGATCGTGGCGTCCGGCGCTGGGGACAGACGTGACTGGGTCACTGTGGGAAAGTGTGGTAACACAAGTGAGGCCTTTTCTCTCCCCTCTCATGGTGCAGCTGTGGTTCGACCCCTGGCAACCCTGTAAATTGGGAGCAGACAAGTACCGGTTCATATTTGTGTTTGTGTGATGCACATTTCGCAAATGCAAATATGTAAGGTCGTGATTATTATCCACCAGTTTCTCCGATTCTCTTTTTTTCTCCCCAACATATCCGGTGACGGTAACAGTTTAACTCTCTCGTCCCTAACTGCTGGAAAATGATCCAGATGGAGGAGCGATTACTTTGGGTTTCGGTTAATGCATGCTGACCCCTCCCCCATCCCAGTCTCCATCTCTTCCCCTCTCTCTGTGTTTCTGCAGAGAAATTGCCTGTTCACATAAGCTAAAAATAAATCATGTGACTGAGCGCAGCCAACTGTACTGTTCATGCATTACTTATGGAAGTGTTTGCCTTTCTTCCATATTTCTTCCACACAAAAAAAAAAGATGCCCCCCTGCCTCTGAGTTGGTATTTTTGTTGGCGTGAGCTCCCAGGCGATGTCCTTGCAAACATGAGCTTTCTTGCTTATTCCCACTGTCTGTGGTTTTTCCGCTGCCATGTGCCAAATATTTAGGCAAGGCCATCTTATCTGCGATGATAAACCACGGAGGTAGAGGCACAGAGCTCGTACTGATCAAACATCTGACCATGGTAACCTCAGCTTTCACTTTCCAGCATGTGAAATTACTTCAGCAAAATATGCAAAAAAATAAATAAAAGTGCTGATTTTACTCACAACAGTAAGACCAGTTGAATTTTGCATCTGTATTATAAACGTGTCAATAATCCATCGGTATTTTCCCAGAAGTGTCATTGTGGTCATTGTTCTTAGACGACCTCCCATGTTTATGTTTTTCACAGTTATAACTTATCGGCCTCAAAGCTCTTCTGGATGCATGTAGCCGCCTTGCCTCCATGCGTTTCTTCCGGCACCAGAACCTCCAGAACCAAACTGGAGTCTCTGACCTGGATTCATCTTTTTCCAGCTGCTGTCCCAAAAGATCCGGGACTCAAAAACTTCATGCGTTGCACAAACACTTTATGCACTTTATTTTTTCTTTTTTTTTTCTTTTTATATATTCAATTGTCTCAAAAAAGGTGAAAATAATAATGAGTGATGAATTTGGATTCAGAAACTTTTATCGTCACTCCATTTCTAATGAAAACACCCACTGAATGCTAATCAAAGTATGACTAGCTGATTGAAACAGTCAGTCATAATGTACACAAAGTGATGAAGCTCGCCTGTTTGTCACTGCAAGGTGCAGAAAACTTTTTAATTGGTCCAAGTGTTAATAATTGTCGAGAAAAGCTCAGCGCTTCAGGAAACAAGTTTATGATTTGTTAACAGGTCTTCACCTTATTGAGGCAGGGATTATCTTCAGTTCACCCAGGAACAAATGGGAATGAACGATCCGTCCCTGATGGTTTTTCTGGGAAAGTGGCGAGAGGCTCCACAGATTGATTTCTTGTACATGTGAAAATCTGACAGCTCTACCCACATGAAGGATTAGCGTCGAGACTGCACGGCCCCGGCCACGGCTTTGCTCGCCTGCTTCCTGGTCAAGGCTAAAGTCAGGGCGATGAATTAGTATCGGTCCACCTCTGTCTGCTCACTTTCTCCTTACTGCCACCATCTCCTATTCTGTGCCTCTCGTCATCTTCTTTTCATCTTCCACCTTCTCATCCGCTGTCGTCACTTCTCTCCGAGTCTCTGAATCACCCTGTCCCCAGCCCACGCTTCCGTCTCCGTCCACATTTAGTCCTGTTTTGTTTTTCCCTTCATTGAGGCTCATCTTTGACGCCCGCAGCCATCTCTAGAGATCACTGCAGCACTGTGCGCACCCATCTGTTTTCACCCTCCTGCCTACTGGTTTCCAACGCGGGTATTTTTCCCTGTCGCTCTCTCTCCTTCCTTGATCGCAGATGGCTTCTTTCGAAATCAGAGGGAGTCACTGTTAATTCATGCAGTCATTGGCGGAGAATGTTGATAACTTTGTCTTTTATTTTGTCAGGCGCAGTCGATGGATAAGTTGTTTGTGTGTTTTTTTTTCCCCTGCAAATTTAAATCTGAGTAACATTTTTGCTTCACAGGTGACATCACTCAGAAGGGCTACGAGAAGAAGAGGACTAAACTCCTGGCTCCCTACATTATCCAAACTCCAGGTAAGATCAGATCGCCTCTTAGTTTCTGAGAACACACACAGACTCCAACTTCTACTGGATATCTGGACGCCTTGCATCACTGCTAAGGTTTCTACCACAGCGGAAGCCATTTCAGCCTGTTGTGTTGGGTGGCTTTACTGTTGTGGCCGTCCTGCATTTGTCCAGATGTTTTCCTGAAACCATGTCATGCAAAAAAAAAAAAAAAGCCCCCAAAAAACAGATATACTTCCTGAAAATTAAATACATTTTGTACCATAAGATACAAACACCAAATTTCTGAGAAAGGCTGTTATTTATTTGAGCAGCATCTAAATATTTGTGCTCATAAAATCGATCAGAAAGCCCATTTTCTTATGACTTCCAAGTAGAAAAGTGTTGGATATTGCCAAAACTAGAGACGCTCCAATCTATATACAAATTCCCCAGTTTCCCTTTTAAATTGCCTCACTGCTCTACACACTGCTGCTGAAGGTAGGAAACCGGCCTTTCTTGCCTCAGTGACAACCTCCACACTGAAGAGTTTTACTATTAGTGCCACTTATTGGCACTCCAGGCTTAGTATGTCCAGAAATTGCGTCGAATGAGGCCGGCGGGCTGAAAACGAGCCCATTTCTGAGGGCTTCTCAAGCTGTTACTGGACTGTTTTTTGTCCAAAATGTGAGCTCACACAGTCTGGAACTTTCCCTGTGCATCATCAAGTTAAAGTAGTGAAGGTCTTTGTACTTTTCAGGGTGATAACTGACCTTTTGTTCCCTCAGACCTACCAGTATTGAAACACAGAAGTTCTACTCACATGAAAAACTACAGATGTTCTAGTTTACATGGGACATCTTTCCCACTAAAAGAGGTTTGATGTTTTTGTTTGACAGTGGCGCCCCCTCAGAACGACGCACAGCCCCCTGCTCCCAGTTCGTCCAGCCACGTCCCCGCTTCGGCCCCCGCCAACTCGTCCCGGTACCGTGAACGCCGCTCTCGCCGGACGCATCGCAACGGAGGAACCAGGGATGACCGCTACAGATCAGGTCAGGAAACGGCCGCGCTTGCTTCTTGCTGCTCAAACTTCGAGCACCTTTGATGAGCCTCCGTGAGCCGGGCTTGATGAGTGAGCCGGTGTTTAAAAGTCACACAATGGGCTGTCTCAAAGGGACCAATTAAACAGGAGTTCATTGGAAGCGTGTTTGTTTATGGGAGTGTGAGGAGATTAGAGAAACAGTCAGCAATGGAGGGCTGCAGCTGGGGAACCCCTTTGTGAGGGGCCCCCCACTCCCTGCAACATGATGTCACTGGCTGGATGTGTGTGACGGTATTGATCCTGATGGGGAAACCTGATGGTGGAGAGTCTGAGCAGTCGAGGTGAAAGGTCACCGAAACCACATGGAGAATACTGCTGGTGTTCACTTGGACGTCTTGCTGCTTCTTATTGTTATCGTCTCCTTCTGCTCTGCTCTTGTGGGAATCACAGTAACACTCCAGCAGGCTCGCCGTGAAGCCGTATGAACCAGAGCCTGTCTGTTATACCGAGTTACTGAGGAAATTAAAAACAACTCGGGGAAACAGAGGGAGAAATCAGAGCTCAAAAATCAAAAATTCAAGAGCGACTCGGATAGGACTGACTCTAAACGTGCCGATCCAACATTTCACACGCAGCAAGAGCCAGAAAAGCTGGAGACCGCTAAGGCATTCAGAAGGAACGATGTGGATTGAATTCGAATAGCTCTCCTCTAGTCATGGCAGCCACTGAAAGCTGCTTAACGACAGCAACATTCAGGGGAGGAAGCTGGAATTGAACCCATAACTTTCTGAATGCAAAACGATTGAACACTAAATTTTTATCATTATTATTAAAAAATGTATATATAATTTTACATTGTTTTTGATTTTTATATAAATAATGTTAGTAATAGTTTCCCCCAGAAAACTTTCTATGCCCGGTGGTTGGGACGCTCGGCAGTCATTCATCCAGCGGCCCGCCGTGTTTTTGAGTTAAAGATTTTTTTAAACTGAAAGGAAAGTTGAATATATCACTTCATAATTATGTGTTACTGGAAGATTAATATCTGAACACCAACTATAAAGTAATATAGGTTAGCACATGAAAAACTGCTAAGCCAGGTGGGGGCACAAGTGAAGCCTGGTGGCCTGTCAGGCTTATAAAACACACTGGGGGAAACCCTGGTAAAGCAGTGGTATCTACACTTTTTTGCCATATAGACCCAAAGTTAAAAGTAATTTTTTTAAAAATTAGAACTGCAAAACTATTCTATTTTTGCTTACTCCACAGTGAACTAAAAATGTGATATTTCACTGAAACCACAGAGCAGCTCAATCTTTGTAAACCTGTAAATTGTGCTGCAGTTGGTAGCACGTTTGCCTTGCGTTCAAATCCCGGCCTGAAAAGAAAACTGAAAGTTCATGTTGCTCAAGGAATACTTTGTGTTGCACCATTCTCTGTTTTGAAAAAAAAAAAAAAAAAAAAAAATTTGTCAAAAAATTAGATACGTGTCAATCTGCATTAGTAACCTGTGCTAGTGAGCCACATTTGTCTAGTCCTGTCGTCCCACAAAATCATTTCAAGAGTTCCACCCTATTTTTTTCCCAGAAATTTAACTTCACTTCATCTTTATTAGTTTGTGTCAATTTTTGTCAAAACGATCTGCTGTTTTTCAAAGCCTCAACATGTTTTTTTTTTTCCTGCATTCATACATGCAAGCTTTCCACTTTCTATTTTTACATCAGCTGCTCCACAGTTTCCTACTCAGGGGACCACAGTTTGCACTTTAGCTTCAGAGGTGACAACAATGCACTGCCTGTTCAGATTATAATAAGAAAAGTAATTCGACAGTTTTTTCATCAGGAAATTATCCCAGTTTTTGTTTCCTCAGTATTCACACTTGACTGCAACTTTTGGGCTTCTTTATTTTACGAATAGTGAATAATTCAACCGTGGCTCCGATTCCTTATTTAAGTATTTTATTGAGCCACATCCAGGGAAGCCCCAAGTGCAAGGCCTGCTGCTGACTGATGAGGGTGGGGAGCTGGAAGAGGGGACAATAAGAAAACAGCACAAACCTGTGGAGTCATCTGAAATGTCAGCAGCAGTGGATCTATACAGAGTCACTGGAGGGAAACAAGATGCAGCGAGAGTTGCTGTGGCAGCCAACTCACTTCTGCTCAATGTGCATTTCATTTAAATCAATAACCCTTTACAATATATATTTCAAAACTGTGTTGAAATGTTTCAGTGACGAAGTTGTGCTATCTTTTGGACCAATTAAAAAAAAAGTGAACTCGGTAATAGTTGGATGTTAATGACTAATATTTTATTATTTGTACCAGATTTTACAGATTAGCAGTTGTAATTAGTAAACTCTCCGATAAAGACTTTCTTCTCCAATACTGATTGGAGTCATCAAAAGAACAGCAATTTACTAACACAAAGTCCTAATGAGGTTCTTAGCAGCTTTAAAATGTAATAAAATGGCACACATTTTATGAGTTAACAGAAATTAGAATAGTGTCCCACTTAGCTCAGTTATTTTGATGACGCTGCAGTCTCTCCTGTCTGGTTTTTGAACAGCTTACTTTCTCCCTTGAAAAAGAGATTTTTAATCTCAATTCAATCTTCCTGCTTAAATCAAGGTGTAAAAAAAACCCCCAAAAACCTGTAGCTCCAACACAGGATTAGCTAGTTTAAGTAAGAACTACAATGATCTGTAACGTCACTTAAACAGTGGTAAATTTTTTTTTTACATCAAATAAAGATAACCTTTAAAAAAAACTCCAATGCTGCTTCTGCTGCCATTTTGATCAAGTGCAATGCTAATGTTAGCTATTTTGATATGACCTTAATAATTTGACTTGTGACATATTTCAGTGCGTGGACAAAACTTACACACATTGAAATGTCACAATGCTTCATAAACTTAGCACTTTACTTTGCAGGTTCTAAAATTCAGGTAAGTAATTTTTCAACTGCTCTTTATGCTTGGATAGTGGATCGGCACATACATACTTGTAGTTTTGACACAGGAAGTGTTCATCTTCAAAAATAAAACTGTCAGGTAAATAACTTAAATAAATAAATGACTTCAGTCAAAGCAGTTCAGTTTGAGATTTTCTGTCACGGCAGCACAATTCATAAAAATTGATTTGTCAAAGCAATGTCAGCGTGTGCAATATTGCAGTTTCATAGAATTGCTCAGATCAAAAATATCGAATAGGCGGTAATACTTGTATATTTGGCCTGATGCATGGATTTTACTATCTTTTATGCTGACCCTGATTCAGATTTTGCTGATTAATGTCTTAAAACTTAAGACTAATGGTGGTTATGCTGTGATAAATGGATGGGAAAGAATTAGAAGTGAGGAAATGTGGATTAATTGGCGTTGATGTCGTCATTCTAATATTCAAAACAATATCCAATGTCATGTATGCGACCATATTTCTGTACAGAACTTTTTAAAGTTTTATGCATTCATCATAATGAGACATAAAAAGGACAGTGAGAGGAATTAAATCCAGTAAAGTTCCATCAATAAGCAGCAACTTCTGTTTGTGCCGCTGTGACACGCGCCGCAAACAAAGCAGAACTTTTGTGTACATCCACTTTAATATGTAGAAATTTCACTTCTCCATAGAAGTTGTGCAGTTCAGTTCAGATGGGTCATTTTTGTTTAGTCTAATCAAGACCTTCAAACCCAAATAACAGAAAACTATGATATAAAACATAATTTTCTAAGCTGTAAAGCCTGGCCTCCTTCAGATATTTCAGCACTTAAGCAACTCAACTCCTGCTGGACTTGCAGTAAACGCACTGCTTATCTTCCTACTCTTCAAAAGGTATGGCCTATAAACATTACTACCAATCCCACATTATTTCTCTTACTATTACGCTTCAAGTGTAAATGACAGATCGAACCTCAAACTTGTAAAAAAACAAAGTTAAAGCAAGGAATTCCCTGGTACAACACAAGCCTGTTCCCACATCAGGCTTGTGTTGTACCACTGGATTCATCTGTAGCTTGGACCTGCGGTTAAACACAAGCCCAGCTTCTAAACGCCACACTGTCTCTGTGAAACACCGTCATCCTTCAGGACACGTTTGAGGAGTCGCCCTCTCCTGACGCTCCTGTGTGTGAGAGGGAGGGAAATGCACATTATGAGGAAGGATAATTTAGCCCACAGTAATCTGTTCATCAGAGCGCCTTTTACGTAATTATAGTCCCCGTTGCCGCTGTGCAGTGGGCCGCTCTGGATTTATTTTTATCTCTCGATGTTCGAACAATTTCACTGAAGTAATAAATGTGTTTTCTCTCAGCGCATAATTCTCTTGCACATGTTGTGTTGCATGGTCTGAGCGTGCTCTCGGTCACGTGGTGCCACTTAATGCGCCTGTGGGTGTCATCGAGTGAACAGCCATCGCTGTGTTTGTTGCTGTGTGCATTTTGTCTGTGTAGGCTTGCGAGTGGGCTAATACGCCGCTTTCTTCTCTCCTTCGTGGCTTCGTTCTTCGTCGAGAAAACATTTTCATCACTCCTTTCTCAGATTTTAAGCAGGATCTCGCTGGAAAAAAAAAAAAAAAGGCTAAAATGTTATCGCTAAGAATAAAGTAATCCTTCTCATCAAGTCTAGATGGATTTAATCTTGTAAGATGATTTATTTGAGTTTATTTGAGTTTGCTTGCGAGATCTAACTGGAAAAAGAAAATCTCCAGTGTTCCAATGTGTCAATGATAAAATAAAAGTTTTTTGCTGCGTTCACACCATATGAATCTAGAAGAGCTTCTTAGCGAGTTGGCCTGCAAAGGCCAAGGGCTTTAACAGCAAAACCTTAAACTTTAAGTCCATTTAAGTTGATTTTTTTTCCTTTTTTTTCTTGTTGTCTTTTGCCTCAGAACTAGAGTACATTGGACTCAAGGTGTGTTCTTTTTCCTCTGCCTGTGCAGATATCCATACAGAGGCTGTCCAAGCTGCACTGGCTAAAAACAAAGAGGAAAAAATGGCGCTGCCAATGCCAACCAAGCGCCGCTCCACTTATGTGCAGTCCCCCATTGAAACCCGCACACCACCAGGTAATGCCCAGACTTTTGTCTCTCTTTCAGTGCACCTGTAAATTCAGACATCAACGTATTAAACTAAACATTATCGCTTTCTTTCTTTCTTTCTTTTTTTTTTTTCTTGGTCTTTCACAGATTCCTCGTCAGGGTCTGAAGATGAGATGTCTGCACGCAGGCAGTCTTCGGCGGTCGCTCCTCAGCCTCAAGTCCATCCCAACCTGCAGAGCTCGGACTACTGGATGAACCGCTCCGCCCAGGGCTCCTCCACCTCGTCCTCCGCGTCCTCCACGATGTCTCACGGTGAGGCCAAGCCTCAGGCGCAGAGCCAGCCTCAGCCGCAGTACAAGCCGCAGTACCAGCCGCTGTATCAGCCTCACCATCAGCCCCAGCAGCAGCAACCTCCGCAGCAACCTCACCGCCAGCCTCAGGAGCAGAGCCGCGCTGCAGCCGTGGCGGACATGCTGGCTCACAGTCGCATTGGTGAGGAAGGGTTTGATGAAATATTCATGGACACAAAAGTGTTGCATTTGTCCTACAAGTTGCTCCCGCAGTCAGTTTGCTAAGGACCCTGAGAAGTCTAATGTGAAACTCCTTTACTTTGTGATAAACAGTGAATTTCTCTTTAAAAATCCGATTCTGTTTAACAAACTAAGAAGATGCTTTTCAGCTACATTACAGCTTTATCAAACAT